AAAAGTTAATTTGATTTGCCCTTATCGGCCACCGTATGTAAGTCTATGAGTTGTCTCTCACTTTAGTTTACATATTTACTTGCTGTAGACGTAATATTAGTGAACAATGTTTTTCCATTCACTCGTAAATAAGTGTTAGCGATTACAGTGTTATGCTAATCTTTGTATGGTTAATGCAATGCATTGTTCAGCTAACTATAAATGCGGTTTTAAGTTAGCCTAGCTGCTAACTGGTTTGTTAGAACAACCTTATTAGGCTGGTTTAACCTAGCGATCTCCATAACTTATGAGTCAGGCTGTAAGTTTCTTTTGTACAGTACATTTTTGTGGCAGTTTTACTCGCTTGTCACCTGTCAACTTTTAATGGAGCAAAGCGCTCACGTTCCTAGCTCGTGAACAAGTTTGGCTAGCTGGTTATTCTGTGTTCACGCACTGACCAGCTCACACACCGATAGAGCAGTATATCATATGATCTGTGCGATAGCATTGTATCCTACGGAAATGAAAGCCTAATGATATTTCAGTCGGCATATAGCCTATGCATGGGATGAAAACGAGTAGGCTAGATAATGTAGAGTGAGTTTCAATACTTACTTAGAATACTTTTAAGTAAAAAGTTCGTTTTGTTTGTTAAGGACACCTGTGGAGATAAACTCCTTCTCAGCCTCACTATAATTTAAAATGAATGTCTTTTAATAATCTGCATCAGCTCCATACTAGAAGAAAGTTTGCAGATTAACATGTAGCTGAATTTATACAGTTAAATGTATGTGTGTGGTCATTAATTTATTTAATCTTTTTATTTCTTCTTATTTTCCAAAAGGAGGCATTGCATCCATTGGACCACAGCAAGCTCATTTCTGTCTCTATGGATGGGCCCAATGTCAATTGGAAGCTTTTGGACCTACTCTAACAGGACCATGCACAACTGGTGTCCGTAGGCAGCTGTGGACTCCACACACTTCATAACGCCTTCAAGGATTTTCGATGTGGAATGTGGATAAAGTTTTAAAGGCCATGCACACTCTTTTCCATAACGTTCCTGCAAGGAGGGAGAACTACGAACAAATCACAAAATGTACTCTGTTTCCCAAGCCATTTTGTGGCCACAGGTGGCCAAAATCTTCCAGTTGTTGAACGGGCTCTGGCAGTCTGGCCATCTCTCATACTGTATGTGGACGCTGTGCACAAAAAACAGCTCCCAAACCCCAAGACGGCATCTTTTGACACCATTGAGGCAGCCATTAAGGATCCCCTTATGACAGCGAAGATGCACTTTTTCATGACTGTGGCCAGGACCTTCCACCCATTCATGAAGAAGTACCAGACCGATGAATCTGTGATGCCTTTCCTTGGCAAAGACTTGGCTGAGTTGATTAAGGTAACTATTTACTGTATATGGGTAGTATGATTTGTTGGCATGTGTCACGGTCGGTTGGAAGGCGATCCGGGAGGCAGGCAAACGGAGTCAGGAAGTAGGGCAAAACGGGGATTTAT